TGCGGAATCAGTGTGCTCCGTATGGAAGTTACAGTACCGCTTGCGGTGGCCATTCTTTCGAGTGTGTTGATCTCATATATACCCTTCGATTGAACGGGATTGGCGGCTGGAAGGCAGAGCTCGAGCCTAATCGAGGTGAGGAAATACGCTCGCGAGAGAGGCGCAATGCGGCGCGGATACGAGTGATCGCCTTCAGCCATCAAGCTCGTTGAATCAAAGGGTAAAGCTGAATGTGTATTTGTATGTATGCCTGTGTGTCTGTATGTCTGCACGTATGTTCTGATCAAAAAATTCCATTTTTAAGATCAGGACCAAACTTTGCATGTACACTTCGGGAGGGGCTGGTGTCATAAAATACTGTTCGTTACCGATCGATAATTTTATCGATTTTTTTTTGCAAAGTCCTAGTTGGGGCCCAGAGTTGGCATAGGGGCGTAGGTGAGCATGCTGATTACGAGTATGTTATCAAAACGGATGGGCGGAGCCGGGTTTGCCAGCTAGTTTTGATACGAAGCTGAACGCCTATTTGTCTATGTCTCCGTATGTATGCCTGTACCAGTGACGGTCCCAGGATTTCCGTCCGGGGGGGGGCAAAAAATTTTTCAAATGAAGCTGCGTGGCGTCAGCCAGCACTCCGAATAAATTTAAGGGGTGCTTCTCAAAATTTTTGCGGTTTCCAACCCCTACCCCCTAAAATCTGCAAAAAAGGGCGTGGCTAAGGCCACGCCCTGAAAAAAATTTTTTTATAAGGCTAATTTGAATTATTAAAAGATTTAGATTTCATTTTAATCGTTTACAAAAATAAACAAGTCACTTGCGCATTTCTACACGTACCCACGTAAGGAAATTCTAAAAATTCGGCGACCCATTCTCGGGGGGGGGGGGGGGAGGGGAAGGGCTAGTTCTTCCCTGTCTAATACCTCTGCAGATTTTATCGATTTTCGCAAAGTTTGAGCTACGGTGCTGGAAGTTGGCACCTGAGGGGGGGGGAGCAAGGGCATGCTGATTTCGAAAACAAAACGGGATAGTGAATTGGCGTGTAAAAGTGCGCAAAGGGGAAAGGTTGTACAGGAATAGGGATTATGACGCTTTTGACATAGTGTTTGACAGGGACGAGCGGAGCCGGGTATGCCCGCTATAGGCCGTCCGCGCAGGGCGCGGAGAGTGCGCAAGGTGTGTATTGCGCGTCACTCGTCTTTCCTCATGCACTCTCGCCGCCTGTTTTCTCTGCGCTTCTTCCAGTCGTGAACTGCCTTCAATGTATGCAGCAGCGTTGCTCTCCGCGCGCAGCGCGGACGGCCTATACTCAGAAAATGAATACCCTATTCAAGGGTACAAAAAACACTACTCCATTTTCGAACGAGAAGCCCGAACAGCCGGAGGGTTTCACATCAGAGGAGCCTAAGAAATTGGTCGCTTCAGTTGCAAAGCCATGATGCGATTGAGCTGCTCACATATGATGCTCAACGTACTCACAAAAGTGTATCATAGAATTATGCTTGGGCTACTATAACATCATCGTGACTATCTTCAATGGAAAATTCTAACCCCGCTGTTAGCTGTAATCTCTAAGAAGACGGATTTTGAGAACTGCGCCTCTGTGATCACGAGAAGGTCTTGCAAGCTTTTGAATATCAATCATCACCACCGCTCTTTAGCCAAAGCAAACTTCAAGTACTCATCTGTATTTCTTTTGGTTGATGATTTAAGTCGTGTAAGCAATAGCGATCACTCAGACAATTGAAAGCTCTCAGCGGGCAACGATAACTACCATTTTCAATGAGCGGGCAGCCATAACTCGGAAAAAGCAGCGAGCGGGCAGCGATAACTCGGAAAAAGCAGCGAGCGGGCAACTATAACTTGTGCAATTCAAAAAAATGAATGCATAACATGTTAGAGCCTACGTCGGCAGCCAGCAGGCGACGACGAGGCAGCGATAGCAGATAGTTGGCAACGATCAGGAAGCGATAGGGTTGCGAAAGCAAGGTTTTAATGAGCGGGCTGCGAAAATGCCATGAGCGGGCGGCGATAAGTCATTTCACTATACAAAAGTGGGGGTTTTATTGTGTCTGGTAGCAATGTACATCAAGTATATTGCAAGTGAATTTGAATCAGTCGTTACTAATTTGTTATTGTAGCTGACTCATACACTTGCGAAGCTTGTCAAGATGTGTTATCTGGGAAAGGAGAAGTACCGACAGTGATGACAGCTGGTGACTGTGGCTCTGGACTTTCGGCGATCGTCTGCCAATAACTTCTACGTGTCTCGCTTGCCCTCGCTCAACATATCGTCATATCAAGTCTTTGCGCACCCGTATTCCTATACTGTAATCTGTTTAATTTCTAATAAACATTAGTATGACCTGTTGAACATTGGATCATTTACAATAAAAGCAGATTAGATGCCACATTCTACAACACTGCTTTCGGAAGTTATTGTTTCTCATTTATTTTCTATGGTCCTCTACAATTGAAAGCATTTCAAGATACTAATCATGCTATCAAAGTACGTGCGCTAACCGTCTATCTTCATCACTCGCGAAATGATTCCTTAGATGAGTTTTCATTTCTTTACCTGATTTACGTATTTTAGACAATTCGACACATCGGATGAGCTGAATGTGGAAAATTTCAGCCCATTCGGTCGGCGAATTAATGACATCGCCAAGTTCGTCGATCGCACCGAAGACTCTAATAATGCGTCTTTCTAGCATAACTTCATTCAGTTCCAATGAATTCTGAATAAGAAATTGATTTGGACTCAGATTACCGTGACAAATGAATTGAATTCCTGATGATTCAATGAAAAGTTTTGATATCGTAATGCGTATTCAACAAGTGTTCTTCATACGCTTTGGAATATACAAAAATCAGACTAGGGCAAAGGTATGGTAAAAACAAAGTCACTTGACTTTACTTGCGAAACGCTATGTGCCGCACACTGCCCGTCGCTGATTGGAAACTACAGTCGATTCGTTGATCGCAAGGACTGCACGAAAGTTGCAAGCCGCGCGCGACGCGGCTGAAATCTCGGGAGAGCAAAAATTGTACAGTGGCCATTTGTATTGGGACAAGTGTTTTGATTTGCAGCATGCGCTCCGCCGCCTGTGCGGTTAACAACTCGAAGATATTTGTGTTTCTATAGTGACTTTTTTCCGGAAGACGTGAGTGGTCACGCTGGCGAGCATTGTCTCATTTCAAAGCACACCTGAAACAAGTTCGCGCCCGTTAAGCATATCATTATCATCTTCTTGGAAAGTATATGATAAGATACGCATGAGTGATAAGATAAGGCTAACAAAAGGTATACATTTTTTCCTCTACTGGCTGGTTGAGCTGCCGAGTTTTTTTTTACACTGTGAGTTCTTCGACTCTCTCACCAATCGTTCTTCATCACTGTAGGATTGGACCTTTTGTTGAAATAATTCAAAAAAGTCTGAAAGTTTGTTTAGCAAGGTTTTCAGGCGTGCTGATTCAACTACAAAACAATTCACAAGTTTCTCGAGCTTTTATGATAGCGTCTTCACATTTCTGACGAACATTAGAAAAACGGTTGTTACCCCAAATCTGTAATAACTTATGAAAAAAGCACTATAACGAACTGCAAACTTCAGCAACTACGATTGAACCATTTCAAGAATTTCTGGCCTGTTTGGCTTTCTTTCTGAGGTAAAATACCGGTCTCAATGTCTTAGTATCCTCCTCGAAGTTCCTGCCTTAATCCTACATTAATGAAGAGCGATTGATACTGTAAATCCAAGTTGAAAATCGCTCCACAGAACGGTAATTCAAGCTTAGCAAAAGACCCGAAACCGAGAGTTATTAACAATCAAACAGTGTGCACATTTTTTGGGACATTCTGAAATATGTGCACACTGTTTGATTGTAAATAACTCTCTTGTAGTGAAGTGTTTCGAGAAGCTTTAGGTACCATTTTGTAGAGCGTGGTTCAACTCAAATTTACAGTGTAGAGCGAATCGCCGATTGCTCATTCTTACTGTAGGAGTACGGTAGAAACATATGGTGTCACTGTGAAAAAAGCGGCCGTTTCAAAATTTCAAAAAGATGTGGAAATTTGTGTAATAGGGTTTTTATGGACCCTGAGTTCAATACCCAACTCTTTACAAGGTTGAGAAGCTTTCTAAACGGTGTAACCGCACTTTTTAGGAACACTTAAAAAACGTTTGGTACTGCCTACCTCGCATAATTTTTTAATGAAGCATTACGAAGAGTTGCGAACTTCACTTTTAGAATCAGCAACTCTAGTTAGCCCAGTGTGAGAGTTTTCAGATTGTTTTGGTTTCTTTTCGGAACAAAATATGGCCTTTCATGGCTCAAAATCCTCTTCAAAGCTTCTACCGTAATCCTACAGTAAGAACGAGAGATCGGCGATTCGCTCTACACTGTAAATCTAAGTTGAACCTCGCTCTACAAAATGGTACCTAAAGCTTCTCGAAACACTTCACCACAATAGAGTTATCTACAATCAAAGAGCGTGCACATTTTTTTAGGACACCCTATATATATATAGATATGTAACTATAGTGTGGAAGATTTGCAATCACATTTCACTCAAGATCATGGCAAAAAGCACCTGCGATCACTCAAGCTTGCTGAAAATTTCTCCGTTCAAAATTAAGTTTTTCTAAATTTTTATCTCAAGAAGCATTCTGTAGTACAAAGCCTCGCAATCGTTTTGCAAATAGAACAGGTGATATTTCGTGTAATAAGAGCAAGAAGAGCAAAAAAAATTTGGGATTAAGTCTTAATTGTTGTTTATTATGTGGTGTCTCTCTGTTCCGTTACGAAATTCATAGGGACTCTTCCCATCCTACTACGTCTCTTCCAAATCTTCCATTCAAAAAATCAATATCAAATAAGCAGTTATACTCAGTGAATCCAACTATAGATCAGTGAAATTCTTATGTCAACAAAGAAGAATTATTGACGATGAAAACTATTTTAATGGATGATGAACATTTTTCTAGACATCATTTGATATGGCTCCTAAGAGACGTCTCAGGTACGAAGATACCGGAGCAAGAAAATGTAGAAGTCAGTTATGCTAGGAAGTAATTGCTGTCTATGATCAATCATGTTTAGAAATCTATCATGCCAAGCTGAAAGAAAATCAAGAAAAACTCTCCATTATCGCGCAACTGCGCGAGTGTGCACCGAACAGAAGAGGTGATGTCCTAAATACGCAAGAAGACGTAAGACCTCTGGGAGCTTATCAAACTCGGGAAACTACATTTGAAGGAGTAGCTGCAGCAGGTTAATTTAGATTTACCGCTAACTTAATGCTTTTGCACTTCGTCTCCAACTCATTCTTTCAATTGAAGTCATTCTCTCTTTTTTGGAGCCTATTAGTCAAGCTGTACATAACCTTGCCCGTCGTTCATACCTACTCAAGTCGCCCTCACTTCTTCAACACGCCATACTTCGTCAAATGTTGTACACCCCCAAATCTCGCTATCGTCAAGTCTTCCACTTCCTGCCATGCCGTATATATCTCATCAAGCCATCATCCCAGTCTATCTAACCCAGTCCATCTATCAAAATCCATTCCTCATTTTAGACAGTCAAATCAAAACATTGATTTTAGTACCAACTACTTATATTTCTATTAACTTTGACTAGGCCTTACTAACAGTTATATCAACTCGCCTCGTACTTGATTCCACTCATACAGAGTATCCCAAAAGTACGTAGACACTTTTGATCGTTGATATATCTTTTCCCAAGAAGTCTTTTGCATATATCAAAGCATCATTTTGTAGAGCTGGCTTCATCTTAGATTTACAGCATGGAGCGAATGACAGACCTCTCTTCGCTACTGTAAAATTAAAAAAGAAACAAGAACTTGGAAAATAGAGGAAGGACCACCATTCAAAAGCGTAATTGTCACTAGCTGTTATACACTACTCGCGCAAGTGAGACGTTTAGGTGGAAATTCCTGAAATGCTGGTGCCTTACACCTTCAACGACACAGAACCTTGCCAACAAAACTTTGCACGCCTATTTCGCTTCATTTTTCAACAGGTTCACGTCTCTCTACGTGCGCAATACGTCTAATCATTAGACACCTTGCAGCTGACGGATCCCCCTCAGCGAATCCAAGATTACGCCATAAGGTATTATCGAAAGGCTGGCAGAGAACGCCACTTGCGAAATCTCCCTGCGACAGTAGAAGTAACGCTCATGGGTAGGTTGTTATGCCTAGTACAGTGCAGACATTAGTATTGTACTGACTCCAACTTCAGATTTTGCGCTGGATTTGATTGGCTTAGGAGATAGTGCATTAAGGCTTGGAAAAACAGCGGCACATGAAATGTCACGGTAGCTTGCTTAAAAGACTGGTTGTCAAGATCAATACACAACTTTCTAGGTTCTACCTCGCGCTTGGGCAAAGTGAAAATGAGCGGCAGAAAAAGTTGGACGAGTTGCTAGCCGATTTTGATCTATACAAAGCCGAAATACTGAAAGGATTGCAGCTTGCCCTGTGAGCTACATGGCAAAGACTTTAGTTTGGAGGTAAAATCAGTACGTAATTTGCAGGAAAGATATACGCTCCTATGAATACGACATGGAAGACGAACAATGGTACTCACATGCTGTGAGTAGATTTCGAAAAATTCTTAAACCCTTATAATATCTGTAAAGCGACTTAATTCCAGAAGCGAAGAAGAAAAACACCTGAAACTAGCCGACTGACGCATTTGAAAGAGGTGCAAAACGAAGCATATCGCGAACAGAGTCTACAGTAAAGCGGGTAGTCGACTGAAATTGTACGCAAGTTGAAGCATCTCTATCAAATAAGATCTTGAGTATTTTGTTTAAAGCAGATTACCTCAAACTTCTTACATGGGCATCCTCCTTCCTCTCGAGTGCGCTGATCTTTTGAGTTTATTCATTTATCTGTATCTTTTTTTGTTGTTGTTATGCGTTTTGTTACAGTTTGAGCGGCTGAGTAATAAAAATGATCAATAGTTTGTTTACAATGCAAGTATGAGAAGGAGTAGTAAATTATAACGCCCGCGGTTCCGAAGTGTAGACTTTAATTTTATGTGCAAGCGGGCGCCGACATTGTTGATATTCATACGCAACTCCGATCCTTTACATCTCCGTTCCTACTCTTCAAAACTAAGAATCTTTTAACCACACCTTTATCTATAAGCAGCAAAAGCAATGCGGAATAAATATATAAAGCACATTAAAGAAGGAATATGGGAAATTGCAAAGCAAGTACATGATTAGGCACATTAAACACCACAATAACAGCGGACATACTTCAAAACAACATTCACTCACGAGGGTCCAGACGGGAAGCGCGCAGCCACAGGGGAGAGGAGGCCGCTCTCCAGAGCCGAGCCATTCCAACTCCGACTCTCTAAAGCTCCGCCTCCCGCCGATGGCTAGTGACTTGCACTTTTGACTTGGAATTTTATTCGCGCTTCACATCTTACCCCTTTCAAAAAAAGTTCCGGTCCTCCGGAACTATTAATCAGATTCATCATCAGACCACTGATCAATCCTACGTGTGGATCTACAAAGGAAAGTTGGATGATCATCACGGCGCCAGCATTTGGAACATCGCAGTGTTGATGGACAGGTGACTCCTTCATGGGGTTCAGCACATCTTCTACATAGTTGGTATTCAAGTACAAGTCTTAGACGTTGCCAGAAAGGTACGTCGGCGTCGCAGCAGAATGTTCTGTGCGTGCTATTTCCGCACACAATGCATCCGACTCTCGGGTCGTTTCCAGGTATTAGACGTTCATCAATGCTAGAGTATGCCGGAAGGGGTTCAAGCACACGTTCGCCCTTTTCGTGAGCACGTCGTTTGAGATGATAGAACCATAGATCTTTTCCTTCCTCTGGACGAGCGCCGGCGCCGAAAAGAGGTGATGAAGGTTCCGTGGTTGCTCTTCTGGTATTTTCTTGCGGACGACCTTCAGAATTAGCATTTGGCGCGGATATGGGTTCTGATGAAGGAGTATTGGATTCTTCCTCTTGGCGATGTTCTTCAAATGGATTGGGTATGGGCATCCACACCACTTGTCCTTGTTCATCTTGGAGTTCGATGCAATATTCAACACGCGGTTCCGTGGGATACATCTGAGAAATATTCATGAGAATTAAATCACATAAATAGATACAAATAATAAAATTATAATAAACTACACTACAGACAGAGTGATATTATATTATTACCTTAAGAAAAATTACAATACTAAATTTATCAAATTGAATACTAAATCAAGAATTTTCTTCTTCTTCTTTTTTCCTTAATCTCATGGTCCAGACGTGACTTGTTGTCGTTAGACGGGTTTCCCACTGAGATGTTCAATAAGCTGCGCGTGAGGGGTATTACATTTAATGACCTTGCTCTTCTTATTGTTTATCCTTGCTTTGATCTACTCGCATTTCCACTGTCGTGTTTTGACAGCGGCGGCTGCCGCTGCCAGCCGCTGCCATCCATCTAATGCCGCTGGAAATAGCTCTTCCGTCGCCATCGATCCTTTCGAAGTGGTGTAAGATGTTTGAAGTACCTTAGACGTAGTCGCTGGTGAGTTGTTTTTTATTATGCTTCTATCTTGTGGTGATGAGAAAAGATGCTCTATGGTGCGGTGATAATAGGGGAAAGCTGTGGCTTGCGTTTCTCAAACATTGTTTTGGCCTTCAGTCATGTCTGCTTCATTGTAGATTTTGACTCGATTCATGTGAACTTCGCGACTGCGTCGTCCATCCCGGATGGTGATGTTGGGACGATCGATGTCGATTATTTCAAATGGTCCTTCAAATCGAGGTGCGAGTTTATGTCCTGTTGGTTTTCTTATAAGTACTTTTTGTCCTATTTTAAATTCCTTTGGTGAAGTTCTTTTTCTGAGATCGTATTGATGTTTCTGGACCTGTTGGGCTTCTTCCATGTTGTGGTGAACGTCCTGCCATACATTCTTCAAGATCATAGTCAGCTGGCTAGCATAGTCATTTTCATCAACGAACTTTCTCGCAGGTAGTTGGAGGGCCGCACGGAATGGGTTGTTAGGTTCACATCCATGGATAACGGTATATGGAGAGTACTTTGTAGTAGAGTTCTTCGAGGTATTGTAGGCGTAAGTAATCATATGGATTACATTGTCCCATCGGTCTGGATGGTCTTTGGTAGCCATTGAAATTAGTTCCTGAATCGTCCTGTTCGCTCTTTCAACTTGTCCGTTGCTCTCATGGTGATAAGGCGTGCTGGTCTTGTGCACAATGTTTAGTACCTTGAGAGCTTCCTTGAATGTTTCACTCATGTAGTTAGAGCCTTGATCGGTTACCAGTAGTTCGGGAGTTCCAAATCTGGCGACGCAACGATTGATGAAGACGTCAGCGGAAGTGTCAGCTTTTTGATCGGGAATAGGTTCCGCAATGATATATTTGGAAAAGGCGTCAACAAAAACAATTATGAATTTGTTTCCTTCCAGCGTAAGTGGTAGAGGACCAATCACGTCCGAGTGCACACGCTGCCATGGTCTAATTGGCGTTTCAAACTGATGAAGAGGCTCGTTGACACGATATGCATTCGGGTCCTTGCGGTCTTGGCATATCTTACAATTGGTAACATAATCACGGATGGTTTTGTACATGTTATTCCATATGGCCAATTTAGAGACTGCGGCTGACGTTTTCTTGATGCCCAAGTGTGCTATTCCATAATTAGAAGAATGGACGTGGGCTACGAGGTGGTTCTTCAACGTAGCGTCTTCGGGTAAGACTAATCGAGGATTTTGATAGATTCGTTCGGGCAATTTGTAGAGCATGTCGTTGATGAGAATATACTCAGTGAGTTCGGGAACATCACAGTTGTCTCTTAGAGCTTCTTTATAGCTTCTTATCCACTCGCAATCATCCTGTTCCTTCCTTGCTTTAAGAGGATTTAGGTAGCTAGTAGTGGCGTCGTGTGATGTCGTTACAGCATTGACTTCAGGAAGGTGTCGAGAAAGCGTATCACAGACGATGTTCTTCTTCCCTGGGCGATAAACTATCTCAATGTCGTATTCTTGAAGCACGATTTGATATTTAGCCAGTCTTCCTGTAAGATCTTTTCGATGCAACAACGCTTTCAACGGAGAATGATCGGTAATCACTGTGCATTTGGCTCCATCTATATATGGACGAAATTTCTGAACTGCAAATGTTACTCCCAGAGCCTCAAGTTCTATGGGCGGATAAGAAGATTCGTGTTTATTCAAAGCTCTGCTAACATATGCGATGACCTTGAGATCTTGATCTTGCTCCTGGCGAAGGACAGCTGCTATTCCTTTGGCTGAACTATCTGTTTCAATAATAAAGGGACGTCCTAGTCGTGGTGCAACCAGGATTGGTGCAGATGTCAACGCGTTCTTGAGTTCGTCCATGGCTTGTTGACATTCCTTCGACCATTGGAACTTAGTGTTCTTCTTCGTCAGAGCGAACAACGGAGCGGCAATTACAGCGAAATTGTAAACAAATCTTCGAAAGAACGAACACATTCCAAGAAAAGCTTTGACTTCAGAGACGTTTCTTGGTATTGGGTAGTGGTCTATAGCCTTGGTCTTCTCTGGATTTGGGCGAATTCCGTCCTTGCTGAGTACAAATCCAAGGAATGTGATCTCTTCTCTTCCGAACTCGCATTTGGACGCTTTGAGCTTCATTCCAATTGCTTCGATCTTTTCAAGTACTTCATCTATGTCCTGCAGATGTTCTTCGGGTGCCTCGGAGGTGATGATAAGGTCATCGATATAGATGAATACTTTCGCTCTGAGATACTTTTTGAAATCTTCCATTATCCGTTGGAATGTAGCTGGTGCACCCTTCAGTCCCATGGGCATTCGCAGGTACTCGAAGGCGCCTAGGAAGCACGCAAAGGCTGTTCTTTCACAGTGTGATTCTTCCAAGGGGATTTGATGAAAGCCTTGTTGGAAATCCAAGGAAGTGTATAAACACTGATTTGCGCACAGATCAAGGATATCCTGAATGTTCGGAAGCACTGATTGCTGTGGTTTGGTGATTGCATTCAGTCCACGAAAGTCGATGGTGAAGCGCCAGCTGCTGGAATCTCGTTTGCGAACTAGTACGATGGGAGCACAAAAGGGCGATGTAGATTCTCGAATGATTCCATCTTTCAGCATCTGTGCTATTTGCTTTTGTATTTCTATGCGCTTTTCCAAAGGTACTCGGTAAATCTTTCGAGCTGGTATGATGCTTCCTTCTATGAGATCGATCCGGTGCCGAATTGGTCCATTGTAATGTCCAAGGTTCCCATCAGGTCCGACGAAGGCATTCGCATGCTTGCGAATGATTCCCTTGAGTTGTTCCAGCAAGTTCGATGGCAAGGCACATTGTGAGAAATTGATTTCTGAGGTGATATCATAAAATTGATTTCCGGTTTTTGGATAAAGAGGCATTGAGTTCTCCCAGTCTGCCTCCGGGGGAATATAGGAGGATGGTTGGATACAGCAGATTTGGAAGTCAGTCGGATACATAGGAGTCGCATTAGCCACGTTCATGCAAGCGTAGAGAAGGACGGAGGTAGCTGTAGGGTTCATGATGTTGACAAAGCATCTTCCATCCTGCGTTGGTGTTAAAAGGGATCTTCCAATCATAAAAATCTCGTCCGATGGTCGGTGATTGTCTTCAATGTAGAAATCAGTTGGAATAGTGGAAAAGTATCCGTCAATCCTGGCATATACTAAGTTGTTAGTCCGAGGAGGCAGAGTAACAGATTCGACCAATCGTACGGGATAAGGTACGTTCTGAGGTAGCATGATACTATTGAGCTGGGTTAATTTGTGGGTTTGGTCTCCCACTATAAGCTGCTGCTTGTATAGGTCCAGTGTTACCTTCAGACCTAGCTCATTGAGACGTTGAAGGAAGTCTGAACCTAGAAGGGCTGGTGCTGGACACTCTTCATCCTTCAATACATGCATGTTGTGGCTTACTGCATGACCATTTATGATGACCGGTAATTCCACATGTGCCAACAATGTGATCGATGTACCGTTGGCTGCGAGGGCAATAGATGGGTTAGATGAAGCCGGCAGGGATTTGTTGAGGGATCGTAGGGTGGATACGGATACACATGAAATGGCCGAACCGCTGTCTATCAATGCCGTAACTGGCTTGCCGGAAAGATAGATCTTAATGTAAGGCAAGCGCGATTTCCTGGTAGATATGGCATAAATACGTGGTATGAAAAGTCGTTCTTCTCTTATCTCCATCTCTTCCTGTGGTATAGCATTGATTTCTCTCTGTCTGCTCTTCTTCCGCGTAAGTGTATTCGCGAGATCAAACATAGCGGAGGCTGCGGCTGTGGTTGTTTTGCGGGCGAAGTACAACTTGAAGCCAATCACACATGCGGAAACCAGAATGAAAACAACGACGATGGGTACAGAGACCCACAAGATGAAATAGATTAGAGACCATTTGATTTGATTCACGCCTGCCGAAAGTTTCTCAGTGGCCGTTTGGTAGATGGAGTGAATAGATTTTCCCAGTGAAGTTTTGGCAGATCTGATCCTATCCAGGGCATCATCCAATATTCCTCGTTTTTGAAGTCGATTATCCAAATTCTCTTGGTCTTGTTCGAGGACCTGGAGATAGAATCGCGCGAACGGTGTGAAGTATCCATGACTCTGGGAGTAAACCGAAGGAGGATTGAAGAGGAACAGATGAGCCGGTTGTAGGTTATTTGGGGGCAATACGTATTGAAGATGATGAGATCTCCTTTGAGGTAAATATGGGCAGGGAGTAGTGGCCGATATAGGGAGCAGATCTTGAGTTCCGGGTACAGCGAACCATATAGCATCATCAGCTTGTACGGGTGTAAGCACGTAGCAGGTGTCATTCACCCTGTGGTCTTCAAAAATCTTCTGTGGGTGCACAGGTCTGCAACGTGTCACGAAGAGTTCACTGTCCTGTAACGTTGCTACCACATCATTCCTCTGGAGGAGTTCTCTTGCTGCCCATGTCGGCTCTACAGTACTGAACGTGCGAATTCGCAAGGTGTTGAGGTACTGCCGATTACAAATATTATTATACGTTTCTCGATAATAAGAATCCACTTCACGAGCTTTCTTCGAAAGGTTTGGAGAGACAGTAGTCGTGGACTTTGGTGATGAGGGTAGAGGTCGTTGAAGCGTCTGGATTTGGAGCGTCGCCGTTTGGACGGGCAAATTCGGAGGTCTTATAGGAAGTCGTGTAGAGGGAGTTGCTAGAGGTCTTGGAGGCACTCGATGAAAGGACTGGCTGGGAGCTTGAGTTGGAGGGATTCTGGTGGAGAAACTTGGAGCCGTCCGAGGTCTTTCAGGTAAGGTGATTGGTAAAGGTTTCTGAGTCGATCGAGGTCGAGGAGTCTGGGTAGTTGTTGTCGGAGGTGCCTGAGTCGGCTGACTTGTGGAATCAAATTGAAAGACGTCAGCAACATAATCATCGGGATAATCAGTGACTTCATCGTAATGTTTAGTAGTAGTTGTACTTCTTGTCGTTGTAGTCGACGTGGTCGTTCTTCTTGTCGTGGGGGCTCTCGTCGTCGTCGTAGTTGTAATGATTGGTATTGGTGGCAAATCTTCCACAGGTGAGGTAATGATGGTGTAAAAAGGGATAGGGATAGTGGACGTGTCGTTTCCAAGTACAATCCGAGCGGGTCCGAATTCTTCAGCGAGATATTCATCAAAAATAGGACTTATGCCCATTTGCAAATCTCGTTGAGTAGAAAACTCTGCATACGTGTACATCCGGGTCTTGCGTACTTTTTCAAACTCCAGCAACTGTTTCCATCTGTACTCGGCATATCGTATGGTACGCAGCACGGTCAGTCTCGGATCTTCAGCAGCATAGAGTCTTCTACGAAGTTGGAAATCTCTGTTGGTGACATTCCATTTCTCCATTTCTCTTATAATTCTTGGTTCCTTTATAGGCGTTGTGGCGAAATATGGCAGCTGTGTTAACTCCGTAATACCAAAAAGTCTTCGTATCAAGGGCTCTGATTGTTTAGGAATCATCTCGTATGATGACCTCGCTCCTGTTGAATCCGTGATATATCGGACTTCTCGTTTTTCCCGGCGATGTAAACTTTCCTCCAAGATATATCGTTGAAGAGAGAGATGAGTAGGAAGTTGTGGGAAAATGAGGACGTGATGGGAAGTGGTTAGTGAAAATCCTGAGAAGCCGCATCTTACAGCTATCTCGGCATAAGCTGTTGCATCCGAGTAGAATTCAAAGGCTAGTTCGGACTGAGGAATTAACGCGAACTTGGCGGTGACATAGGAATTGAAGGATCCAGCGAACTTGTAAGGGCATAGTGAAGGACTGTTAACAGGCTCCCACATGATAGTTTCTTCTTTCAGCAAACAGAAGCCGTCGGACAGGGTGCAATTCTGGAGGTTGGCCAAGGAGCTTATAACACATTTCCATCAAACGAAGCAAGATCTCCATATTCAAGAGTGTAGATGCTGCGCAAATAATGGTTCGTTCCCCATAGAGGTAGACTATATTGATCGTCTTCTACTTCGTTCGTGGCATAGAATCCAGGCAAAATTTGTTCCAGGTCGTGGTCATGGGCTTTACCAGTCGCTCTCATCTGGTCGCACAATTCACGGGTAACCGAAAGACGGAAACGCTCGACAATCTCTCTTTTTGTTCGTATATAAAGAAAGTTTGTAATTGCCACTTTGACGACATCGCGATAACATTTTGTCGCATTTACGCGCAGTGGTTCATCTGTTTCGGTGTAAAGACGGACTGGCATGCGCATTAGAGGTTCCTCTGACGATACTGTACAATTCACTGGCACAGGGAGAGCAATGATGTTGGCAGATGGGTTAGTGCCACAGACCTGATATGACTGAGCTGATGCCAATGCGGTGAGCGACATCATAGTTATGGCGACGATACACAGTAGATGGGATGCATTGAATAGCTGTCGAGGATTGGATTCAGCAGGTGTCGGATATGGATATGTGCTTGTGGTCGGCATCTCCGGGTTGTAAGGTGGATTGCGGAAGGATCCTTGCCAATATGGTCCACCACGTGGCCTGCCTCTGAAGGGCCTTCTCCTGTTCGGATAAGTTGTTCCACGCGGCCGGTTATAGAAGTTGTATCCCGAGGGAAAGGGTCTTGAGCTTCCTCTGAAGTTCCCTCTTCCGCGCATTTGAGAAGCTGTAGGCCTGCGAGCTTGTTGAATCTTAAGCGTATTCAGCTCACGTTCCAGTCGGTCGAGCTTATCATCAGCGATGATGGCATTAATCGCGTGGATCGTATCTCGGTCTTCGTGCATTTCCTGCTGAAGTATGCGATGTTCTTTCTCAGCTGCGGCAACAACGGCATCAAAATCTTTGGCTTCTGGGAGACGTCGCATGGCCTTACGGATCTGTGGGTTGAGGCCTTTGATGAAGAAGTCTATAGCCATCTGATTCGTCATCCTTATTGATGCCTTGAAAAGCGAATTTGCACTTGTTGTAGACCTTCTGCGCAAATTCGGCGACACTATCTTTTCCTTGAGTGATGTTATGAAGTTCGTCACGCAGATTACTCAAGTAGGCGTCGTTCTTGAATTTCTTCGCCAAAGTAGTGACAAGAGTCTCCCAGTCAAGGTTCTGCACATTTTCGATATTATTGTACTTGATGCGCGCCGGTCCAGTAAGATACATAGGCAACAGAATTTTGGCCTTAGGGTGTGGAATACGAAGGCGTTCGATGAGATCTCTGTACTCTTCCAGAAACTCCTCAAATGTACGGTCTCCTATGCCTGAGAACTTGACGAGTCTATCACCCAAAAGCCTGCATGTCTGATATAGGCTCAGTTGATCATTGTTTGCTTCCATTGTTGATTGCGTAGATTTGGAGGATGTGCTTTTTGTTCCTTTGTAGTCTTTTCTCTCTGGAGGTGGCTCAGCACTGGTGGATCGTCTCGGTGATTCTGGCTTTCCTTCCTTTTTCTCTGGAGTCCAAGAACTTGTGGATGGACGACCTCGCTGTTCAGTCTTCTTCTGCCTTTCCAAAAGTCGTTTCTCACGCTCCGTAAGTTTCTTAGTTTCCAGTTTGGATGGAGATTGCACCAAGATGAACTTACGGGTCTCGGGGGATTGGAACTTGGACAGCAGTGTTAAGAGAGAGAAGGAGAGAGAGTAAGGAAAAAGGAAAGATATGAATATTATGGATTTTTTTACACAAAAGTAATAAGAAATTGAAGGAGAGAGAAAAATGAGAGAATAATATTTTCAGAGAAACTCAGTTTCAAAACAAGTTCAGGTTTTGGACTACACAATAATATCACTCTGTGAAAACTTGAGAGAGAAAACTAACCAATATCAATACTAATACAAAAGACTCACCTCCTATTACTGGAAGTTGAAGGAGGGGATAGAAACTTGAGTTGAAATTGAGCGCACCAGAGGATGAGAGTTTGATGATTGGCTTCTAACCTAAACACATAAAAGCGGAGCGACAATTTTGAAGGCTCTTACGTACACTACTATAAATCAGATTAAAACCTACCGCACGGGGCACGATCGGAATTGCGAGTAAGGAGCAAAGGCTCCTCCTTCAAACTTAAAAGAGCATTTGTGCAAAAGTACAAAATGGAAAGAATAATGAGGGGAGCCCGAGGCCACATAAATTTCGGAGTCTACGATTCATTGCAGCGAGGTTAAAAGTGCACGAGCGGCGAGCGGAAACAAATCAGTTACGATAAGCATCTTTGCAGCGAAACTGCTTTACACCTAAGGTCTATGGGCAATAATTCACAAATGTCAGGTTTACGATGCCATAACTCAAAGGGCGCGGCACTAACTTGCACTTTCTGTTTTGCAAGTCGAACTTTCGCAACCACAATGAATGAGCTTGCACTCCTGCAATCGCTGCAAATTTTGCACACTTGAGAGAATGAGTAAAGACTAAACGTTACCATTACAGCTCAGACGTAGAACAATTGCGTACCTTCACCTGTTTCTTCCAGAAATCTGAACATACGATCACAAAAACATAAACAGCAAGCAAAGCAAAGCGATAAAACACATTAAATACATTTTCTGGAACGCTCAAAACATTAATTTGCTAACTTTATCCGCGAAGTTGAGCGTCACCTGCGCAGGGTTTTTCTTTCTCGCTCTCTACGTTACCCGTCGGAGTTTTCCTCCCAGTCACTTATATTTGTTTCCTTTCCACTATTCTTTCGGCATTTTCTTCCTTCGCGGTTAAAAAAATGAGCGAGTGTGACTGTCATCTTGCCGATTATTAGCTGAAACTTACTAAGCATGCAAAAGCAGAAGCGGTGATCGTATGCACAGCCAAGGATAGCATAAACCAAATACAAATGTAAGACAACGAGAAAATATGATAGATTTTGCGTGGCGCCATTGCAAAAGCTATCATGCATTGGTAGTACTTCTATCTCGTGTCTCTCACTCGAAACCTTCTTCTCACTGTTTCCAACAATTTCGCCGATGTTGTTATCTCTCCAATTTTCGTAGCTCATAAATTCCATGATCTCGCCACCGTGAGTCCACAAATTTCCGCGATCTTTCCGATTCGTCATCCCGCTGGTTTTCGCCATCTTATCGATTTTCGAAATCTCGCCGGAACCTCCATATAACGCCCGCGGTTCCGAAGTGTAGACTTTAATTTTATGTGCAAGCGGGCGCCGACATTGTTGATATTCATACGCAACTCCGATCCTTTACATCTCCGTTCCTACTCTTCAAAACTAAGAATCTTTTAACCACACCTTTATCTATAAGCAGCAAAAGCAATGCGGAATAAATATATAAAGCACATTAAAGAAGGAATATGGGAAATTGCAAAGCAAGTACATGATTAGGCACATTAAACACCACAATAACAGCGGACATACTTCAAAACAACATTCACTCACGAGGGTCCAGACGGGAAGCGCGCAGCCACAGGGGAGAGGAGGCCGCTCTCCAGAGCCGAGCCATTCCAACTCCGACTCTCTAAAGCTCCGCCTCCCGCCGATGGCTAGTGACTTGCACTTTTGACTTGGAATTTTATTCGCGCTTCACAAAATCCCGAATAAAGCAGGTCGCTGATACGGTTATTCACGTACTATTGCAACGATTGACAGTAGGTTGTGAAAGACCAGGCCCAAGAAGGCTGGTTCCAACCGTTGAATTCCACAAAGCTCAACAAAACGAGGAGAGCAAGTGAATGGCAATGAGCGGGCTGCGATAAGCGGCAGTGAGCGGGCAGCATTGACTGGCACTCAGCGGGCTGCCTTAATGGACGTGAGCGGGCTGCTGTAAGCTGGCAATGATCTGGAAGCCACATGGCATTCAGCGGGAATCCATAAGGCAGCGATAAGGCACGGTGGCTTTTGGTGGGGATTGATGGTGGCTTTATGGCTGCCGGCTGAGAGCTTTCAATTGTCTGAGCAGGTAGAGACCATATAGCTTTTTTGTAGTCGCTCTGAAGGATGCTTCGGAGCAGATTGTAAATAAATGAAGTTTGCTGGTCGTGTTGAAGTCGCATTTTCCTGTGTAGATAGTAGACGCGCAAATTTTCGCGGTTCTACTCAAAATGCATATAAGTTGATGGAATACTACGGCTATCAAAACTTCGTCAAAATGGCTCCGTTGAACATTGAAAAAGCATAAGCTGAGATTAGCGTTTAGGCACGAAAAATGAGCAATCATAACATGGAATACCAGATACAATTAACTCAGAAATTGATAATTTTTAACCACATGCAGAAGGCCTATATCTAAAAAGCGAATCGCTGATGTCAAATTCTTGCTTCAGCCATTATCAATGCTAGCAATCTTCGCCTCTAGCATTTTCTTGAGTTCTCTACATACAGATTATGTCATCAAAAGCACAATGTAGCAACCCTACTAACTAGAACTGAGAATTAACTTTTGCTAGAAACGGTTACAAGGGCACTCGCTTCTCAAGAACTTCTATATTTGAATATAGTCAAATCACGTTTGTGCTGTGCATTAGCAACTTTGAAAAGAAACTTCGTATCTGTTAGCATGTTATTTGATGTACACTGTTTGTGGGCCAATGCTTGGGAAACAAGAAAAAAGCAAGAAGTGAATAAACAGAGAATATTTGCTACTTCCAGTACATAAAGGTAAATAAAAGAGAGATGACACATAAACTGTAAAAAGCAAAGGCTGAAAAACTTTTGAGTACCTAGCGGTTGCTTCAACCTACCCGCATTGGTATAAAACAGCCAAAGGCTCCCGCGAGATGACTACTTCAATGCCATGCTATCAATGCTTACTGTTTATTTTGTTATTAATAGGCCAATAACTTACAATATTGTTTTTAGGTTCTTGCTGAAAAGCCTTCGTAAAGTAGCTAATGCACGAAGTTACAGATGCCAGTAAACTTTCACGTAAAACGCTCTGTATCGCTTACGCATATTTCATAATACATACGTACGAGTGTATGTAGTACGGATGGGGGTAGGCGGGAAAACAAACCATTTTTTTCCGCAATTCGTTGCTGCTATAATAGGTCAACAATTTCTGATGCCGCTTGTTGATTTCTTCTTTCGCCAAAGAAGCAGCAATCCATCTTTAAGACAGAAAACGGCAATAAATGTTCTTGTCAAAATTGATGGACTTTTCTTAGAATTCTGCGAGCGAAGGGTGAGATGTGAGCAAAATGCATTTTCTGATGCGTTCTCATCCTGGTGATTGTGCCGTTGTGAGTAACAGCACGAGTTTAAAAGTGGTAGTGCTTTGAACTGGTCTATGTGATCTGTAGAACCATGTCTCCATTCTTCATCTACACACAATGATTTCCACTGCGAGATGGTACCCAGAAAAAATTCGTGATATTAACGCCATTCTTAAATGAATAACTTATCGTGAGTAGGAGAGATGATTTACATCGCACATACGTGTTGCATCTGTTTTTACCAAATCATATTTACAGATTGGCATTATCACGATGAAGTTTTTGCTTCTCATAATTGTGACACTTCCAACCTCAAATGGTGAGTTCACTGTTTTCTCAAAACATAGGGCAGATTACAAGTGAAAGTTCTCCTCCAAATCTGTCTGATCAACGTTTATCTTGCAAATCATCTATATGTTTGACTTTGTTGACGTCCACTGGGTTTGAAATCTACAATCCAAAATCGTAAACCTTATTTTGATAATGGTACATAACGTTTGGTCACAATCATTCATTACATATGCTACAGTTTGCAAAGAAATGTTTACACATCATAATTATATTGCCATAACTACACCGTTTACAACAAATGATACTTACAAGGAAAGTACCTAACATAGCTCGGCCTTCTGGCAAGGGACATATTCTAAATCAGCTTCAAACGCTAATTCCAAATATGCTATTTCTAGCTGCCACTCCCCATTCTTATGCGAGTTATGGGCTTTATACTGCGCAAATTTGGCATGCTCATCGACTCACGGGCATCATGTCAACATCATCCAAGTGCTGATACACCTGCGTTAAGCTTTTTTGGTAAGAAAAGATTGGATTTGTAATATTTCGACAGCTCAACACTTTTTTTTGCAAATTTTTATCTACACGCAGTCTTCTCATGTTCAGCAGTATGCCAATTTTGCCTAGGAAAAAGTCCATAACTCGTTTCGGAATAGTGCGCGGCAACTAGGAATAGATTATTTGGAATCAGCGTTTGAAGCTGATTCAGAATATATATGCCTTTTACCAAAAGGCCGCCGAGCTAAGTTAGGTAGCTTTCCTTATTAGGCCCGTATGCACGTACAGTAAGTTTCGACCCGCTTTAGGCGGAAATTGGACTGGCGCGAGTCCGCCTCGCTACAGCTCGCGCCGTTTCGCAGCTACAGTATACCCTATCGTGCTGAGAACCCATGTCTGCGTCTCTTCAATCTTCCTAGTCTTTACTTGGCAAAGTGCCAGCGCTATGCGCCCGCGAAGCCTCCAGCGATGCGCATGCGCTGCTCCACGTAGAATGTCTCGCCTAATCCGGGATGAAACCGACTGTACATCCCCGCTGGGGAGGGGAGGGGATCTGAGAGGGGATGCGTCATATCTCGCTACTCTACGTATCTTTCTTCTTTCTTTTCTATCCCGCTTATGAAGGTTCTCATACCCTTATACCTGCGCATAATGGATGCCAGGTTACTTCCATACAAGATTGGTTTTTTGCCAATCTGTGTGATCCCCTAGAGATCCCCAGGGGATCCCCAGGGGATCACCTCTCATTTTCGAAGTCATTTATCTTCCTGAGAATTCAATGGAAACCCCGTAAAATTGTACCGAGGATATACTACGGCACTGCTAGGCATGTTTATGATAGAAGAAATATGTGAAGATTGTGAATTTTTCGATGATTGATCCCTAGCTTTCGAGCCAGGGATTACCGAAGATTTCGATATCCTGAGATTTCACTTATTTCTACTACAAACATCTTTAGCAGTGCCGTACTATATCCCCAGTACAATTTTAAAACGTTTTCATTGAGTTTTCAGGAAGATAAATGGCACTGAAATTACGAATTTTTACTATTTTGGGGGATCCCCAGGGGATTACCCAAATTAGTAAAAATCTAATCAGTTATGCCAGTAACCTGGCATCAATTATGCGCAGGTATAAGGGCATGAGAATCTTTATAAGCAAGATAGAGAAGGAATAAGAAAGATACCTAGAGTAGCGAGATATGACGCATCCCCTCTCAGATGCCCTCCCTTCCCCAGCGAGGATTACGTGCATATTGGCCTTAGAGTTAAGTAGAGTATGTAATGATAATGCGTTGATAAAATCATATGCGTTTTTTCCAAACTATGATATCAACCAGATATTGATGTATTATTTCGAGTGCAGGTAGAAAATTTGCAGCACTTGTTTGTAAACACAGGCTTTGGAGGTTGTGTTTTTGCTTCTCTTACATGGGAAGGATACCTGGTGACCGCGGCCATTAAAATGCGATGTATATTATAAGGTGCGTCTCGAAACGCTGATTCCATATCTGCGAAACATCTTATCTAAAGGAACTTATGCGCCTTTTCTGGCAAAAATTTGCGTACTTTTGGATAGTCAAAGTCACCAAATTTGTCCTAATTTTACTGTTTGATGCTATCATAGAGAATCTCAGAGGGCGTAATGTTGTATCTGTTCTGCTATCAAAAAAGAAGGACAAATTTTTATTGATGACTTTGACCGTCCGCAGCAGCCCAATTCATTCTTGAAAGACAATCATAACTCCATTTAGATCATTGTTTCGCAGATGCGGAAGACAATTTTCGAACCCGCATTGAAAGGCACATTTTTTGATATACAAATCAATTTGAATGGCCATGGTCACCAAGTATCCTTCTCTTGTTAGTCTTTATGTATTTCTTTTTGAAAGAGGGAACACGAAAAGAAAAAGCTTGTGTAACATGATGGCCTAGGTCACAGACTTATTTAGCGTTTTCATTAGTTGGTATTACGGAATGTAAGGGAACTTTAACGACCTCCAAGCGTCCGAGTTACACTGAAGACCAAATGGAAAAGCGAACCCTTGATCAGCCATTGACTGCTATTGAATATTTCACAAAGTGTTCCAAGTGTGCATTTGCAGTATAGAAAATTTTCTGCCTATCGAACGAAGACAGTTCTCGAAGCTTACACTAATCACAAAACTTTGCACTGGTATAAAAACTTCAGAAAGACTTTATTAGTTCCAGCTCTGTGTAATTGCTTCCGTAAAAACAACATCTATATAACAAGTAACATAAACACCAGCTCATTGTTTGTGCTATACAAAATTGATGGCAACTTTTTGTGAAAATGACATTTCGACTTTACTTGTTGTCAAGGTGGCGGTAGAGCTTCACAATGTTCCCTATCAAAAAAGAAAAAACAGTATAAATTTTAGGCAAGCGAAAAAATTTTTTGTAGACATGCGCCATCAAGTTTGTCATCAGAGTTTCTTATTGCAATTTTGCAGCTCAACACAGATTAGGGAATAGGCCCAGTTATGGTGGCTACGGATATCCCGGGCAGCTACCTTATGGTTATCAACCCCAATATGGTTACCCTTACCGATACCCTTATTATGGCTATCGCGCACCTGGCGCTAACTATCGGCCAGGTCCATACACTCCATTCACCCCTCAACCATTACAACCTACAACAACACAACCGACACAACCAACACAACAATGCGCTGGTATGTCAGCCATTCATGATTTCTTGAGTGCTTAGTTCGGTTTCAGGTCCATGCGTGAACGGTTTATGTCCTGAAGGTTATGCTTGCAATGCTGGCAATACGTGCTGCAGAGTCGGAATGTAATACGATGAAATGCACTGCCTATATTCTCGCCTACGTTCCGAGTATCTCGTGTTCTTGATTGATTTTAATAAAATGTGCAGTCCAAGCTGAAGCTTGGTTCCAAAACCTTCGAATTAACTTGGGAGTTAGATCCTCGTATGTTCGTTTCCGGCCAAAAAGGACCGAATTATAAACGATGGTTGTTGCAAGAGAAAGCTACCTACGAAAAGTTTACAAAGTGTTGATAAAATTGCTCGAAGCACATAATTCCCTTTGTTGACTCAAAATCGTGTTTACCACCTTTATCTTATCACATCCTCAAAGAAATTGATGGTGGAAACAGCAGAGTACTGAGCCAAAAGAGTATACTGCATGTTAATGGTGCGACGATTCAAAACTTGTAGTCAAAATGTACTGTTTTGTCTCTATAAAGAAAAGTGATCTAGAAGCTCAAATAGCGCTTCAGATAATTTGGTGCTGTTTTCTGCTTTTTCAGCTCCGAGTACTGTTACTCAGAAAAGACACATCTTACATGAAGGGAACAAGGCGGTTTAAGCAAATTCATGTTTTTTCGAATATGATGTACAATACCGCTCACAGAATGTGCAAAATTTCCGTAAATGTCGCAGAATTCCGAGAATTCCGCGAAAGTTCGCGAAATTCCGGGAATGTCGCAAAATTCCCGGAATTTCGCGAACCTTCGCGGAATTCTCGGAATTCTGCGACATTTACGGAAATTTTGCACATTCTGTGAGCGGTATTGTAGTCTTCAAATAGTGCCGTTGATCCGTCCTTTGTGGCCTCTAACAGGAGCAAATAACTTCCTCTGACAGGAACTCGAAATTCACGGGAATGCTGTTAGGCTAAGCAAGGATATCGGGAAAGGGTTTTTAGGGTTTCGTGTATTTTTAACTTTGTGCCCAAAATCGAGGCCATGGACGGCTCAAAAATCATGAAAACAAAGCCAAAGAACATATTATTTTGATTCACAATACAAAAATAGGAGAGATACGACCCTAGCACCACAACGAGGAGTAGGGCTCTTTTTTCTAAAGCCGACAGCTCAAACATGCGAAAAAATTTGACGGCCCCAAGGCACGCCGCACAATACTCAAGGCCGTCCGGCAAAGCGATCGTTTCGCGAGGCGCGGCGAGGCACCTGAGCTGTCTGCATTAACGAAGTAGGCGTGTCTTTCAGTAGTGAATTTAGGGTAGTTTTACGTGAAACCAAAATTTATGATTCTAAAAAGCTAAAAAACTCTGCATATATTGCATTCTGTTCTGGGCCAAGTATGCATTTCTTTACCATACTGATTGTGAGTATTGAAACAACATGGCTTTCCTATTTTGGATACGTATTACATGGTGAACTAGCCAGGAGTAAATTCAGTATTCAGCCCTTAGTAGACCGAACCGGGAAAAAGAGGGAAGGCAAAAATTTTATTTGAATGGAGTATTAGGCTGCTGCATGAGTTCTGTCCGATTTGAATTCTTTAAGTTCAAAATGTCACAACTTCTCTCAAAGTCAACTTTTTTCCAAAATCTTAGTTTCTATGTGTTGACCATCTTCATCCTTCCACCATCCGTCTTCCTTGACTATCTGACACATTTTGAGACTTGCCCTGCCCAAATCCTTGTTAAGGAAGAAGCAAGAACTCAAAAACTTTACAGCGTTTTTCTTCAAACCTATCTTTTTTGAGATGAAAATACTCCCTTATGTGAACTGATAGGCATCTTATCCAATAATGGATAGATAGAGGAATTTTTGTAGATTAATTAGCAAAATAAAAGAGCTTATAGGGCCTGCGTTGCCGAGAGATTTTTTCGATCGAGCAAAAATGAAGCCACCTTTTTGACCTTGCTCCAGCACATGTGCGCATGCCTGTTTACGAATTATGAAAATTTTACAGTTGATGTGAGCGCCGAAAAGGATTTGGTGCATGGGCCTTGCTAGCTCTTGCTTTATCCTAGCACCCCCAATTTTGAACTCATCAATTACATCTATTCGCAGAAAGTTACTGCTCATAGAACATTCATACAAAAAATTTATGTTCGACGACAGATTTTACTCGCAAGATGTTTTCTTCATGAATTTGAGCTTCTGTATATACTAGCCTTCCACACCCTTAATTCGAAACTAATGAAAGAACTTGACTTGAAGGGCGCATTGTGGAGATTTCCTTGCGAGAAAATAATTCTAAAATAATTAGTACGTACCTCGGCCACTTGGAGATTTTAGGCCTGGAATCTCTTTACACTAAGGAATTTATTGGAATTTGATATGCTTAGAAAGAGCAAGAAAAGTACTTTTCAATGATAGTAGCAGTACCGCATTAGAAATGAAATTATCCTAGAACAGCTTCAAACATAAGGCAAAAAAAATCGGACAGAACTTATGCAGCAGCCTAATAGCATTAATCATGTCCACAGGAATATTTTTGAGCTTTCTTGTTAGATCGTAGTCGCGAAACGAAAGTCGCGATCTCGGAAACTCTAGTCTAAGAGATTTTTGAATTCTCAACAGTTGAAAAAATTAACAACTCATCTCTTAATTCAGTAGAAACAGTCACGTGCAGTACTTTGTAACTCGTGCACCTCCTTCCTCACACCACCACTGCTTTCAATGATATTCAGTTATGCTTGTAAAAAGTTTGGCCTTGAAAGCATTTCGATCAGCTGGCTATTTACTGTGAGATGACAGCTGGATATTAAGAAAGAAAAAAGTTTGCTGGATTTGCTGCAGCGGATGGGTCTGTTTATAAATTTGACTCAATTCTCATCGAGCAGTCCTTAATTACTAAGAAGTACTTGATCTTTGACTTTGGTCGCTCACAGACTACCAGTCTGTACACATAGTCTGTACACAGAGACAGAAAAGTAATTAGTTTTGCAGATCAGTCTCTTAGCGCGCGAGGCGAAGTGAAGGCGTGACTCTGAACTGATGGGGTGTGAGAGTCTGAGTCTGAGTCTTATTATGATAAAGTTAACCCATTTGCATAAAAGATGATTTTTACTTACGCTCCACTCATTACTACCACGAATTTAGTTTCAGTACTATCTTGGTGTTTACGGCAACGCTAGTAATGTCTTGCCGAAGTTATCGATGCTGATGCTGAGCAAACGTTAGTTTTTGCTGGTGTGCGGCAACCACCATAGCTGAATATGGACCGTGAACGCTTTTTACCTCATTTTGTAAGACAGCAAATACTGTTCATTGACTATCGCGCTTGTTTGCAGTTTGTTAGGAATATGGAGTGATTAATGCTGTCAGAATTCAGCAATATCATAATTGAGCTTTGAGTTCTTCCTATGCGTAGTTAACCTAATCTGGTGAGAGGCTAAGGTTAAAGAGCGTATTGCGCATCTTTTCATACTCTTATGATCAGCCCATGCATTGAACTGGAAAAATGTAAAATTCATAATTTGTAATACACGGCAGTGTAATTCAATATTATGAATTCTTACCATTACTAAAATTAAGTTATGAGAAAATTTTGAGTAGAAACAATGGTGTTTCAACTATGATTTACTGTAATTAGCTATCTTTAACTGCGAAAGCTGAGAAAGTTTGAGTAGCATGATAGCTTGGTCACAAACAAGATTAGCGTTTTCAGTTGTTGATATTGTAGAATGTAAGGAAGCGTGCGGCCTACAATCGTTCGAGTTACACGGAATTGAAAAAACGAACTCTTGCTCAAAGGATGGACTGTCAACAAATATTTCACAAAAAGTTCCAAGTTTGCATTCGCGGTATAGAAATGTTACTGCATACCAGATGAAGACAGTTCTTAAAGCTTGCACGCGCCTCAAAACTTTGCTCTGGCATACAAACTTCAGAAAGACTTTAGTACTTCTCTAACCCTGTGTAAGTGCTTCGGTGAATGATTTTAGTAGTTCTAACCCTATATAAGTGCTTCGGTGAATCCAGAAATCTATATGACATATATCCTAAACCACAGCACGTTGTTTGTGCTATGCCAAATTAATGATGAGCAATTTTTTGTGAAAATGATATTATTCAACTTCAGTGTTGTCAGGGTGGCGGTAGAGCTTCACATTCTTCCCTACAAAGAAATGGAAATCAAAATAAATTTCAGGCAAGTGAAAAAAATTTGTAGACAAGCGTGATCAAGTTTGCCATCAGTGTTTATTTATTGCAATTTTGCAGCTCAATAAGGATATGGGCCTAGGCTCAGGTTATGGTGGATACGGATATGGTGGGTACGGTTACGCGCAGCCACGTATGGTTATCAATCACCTTACCAGAGCCCTTATAGTTATGGCTATCGCGCACCTGGCGCTGGCTTTCAGCGAGGTTCATACCCCTTTAGGCTTGGTTATGTTGGCTACGGTAGTGGCTACGGATACGGGCAACCATACGCCAGCCGATCATATGCACTGTTATGTCAGCCATTCATAATTTCTGGAGCACTTGGTTCGGCTTCAGGTTTAAGCGTGAACGGTGTGTATCCAGCAGGTTTATGCTTTCAACGCCAACAATATGTGCTGCAGTGTCGGAATGTAAAATCAAAATGCACTGCTCGTATTCTCGGGCTATCTGTGACGTTATTCATGTCTTATGGTAATAATAAAATGTTAAATTCAAGCTGAATCTTTGGTAATGCCATAAAATCCTTTGGTACGACTGCAGCTTTCGAGAAGCACGGAGACGAATGGGGCGACAAAGTGCGCCGTCTGATTCATGAGAGGTTCAAGGACGAGACATCAAGGTATATCAAGGTAACGAAGCTCTGGACTAAGATGGGAGAGACCAGATTCTCCTAGCCAAAACGACTTTTTACTGTCTCCTGCGGAATGTGGGGTTCACGTATGGGAAGACAGACGGACAAAGGATCATATTGGAGAATAATATTATAGCCAAAAGCGAGATACCTGGACGTAGTGGAAAGAGCGTGGGCCAAAACCAGTGTCTCGTCTAGGCGAGACGAGACGCTGGTTTTGTAGACGAAATCTGGGTATTTGACGGCATGACGAGGAAGCACAGATAGTATGCCACCCATACCCCTAGATTTGGTACTGCATCCACGATGGAGGAGTGTTCTTGCGGATTACAACGTCGAAGAGCAGAGGTCACAGAGAGCCATAGTGATCGTTTGCCCCAACAAGTGAAGAAGTTGTCCC